GAATAAATATAGCACTGTCAAGCACCATATTTTTTTTTTTTGCTTAGATGGTTGATCGAGCTCACAGCCCACCTGGTGTTAAGTGGTTACTGGAGCCCAAAGACATCTACAACGTAAATGCGCCACCACCTTGAGATATAAGTTCTAAGGTCTCAAGTATAGTTACAACGGCTGCCCCACCCTTCAAACCGAAACGCATTACTGCTCCGCGGCAGAAATAGGTAGGGCGGTGGTACCTACCCGCGCGGACTCACAAGTAGATCTACCACCAGTAAATAATAAAGATAAGCACACGATGTCTACAATAAAGATTAAATACATACTTATAGTATAAGCAAAATTTGATTTTGGAAGTACAGTCTTGTCAGAAGATCGAGTGTTCGATCCCAGTTGGTTACTCGATATTATCCAATGTTTCTTTTGGCTTGCCACTTTATATGATTGAAATGGAACGAAATAAAGGAGAAAATATATAATATATATATATAATAGCTCCTTGAAAGAATAATTAACAGCGCGTCAATAATCGATTTCAATCTTCGCCAGTCGTTGATCTGAATTAAAAATTAAATTATATTAAAACGACATTTACGATTTTATCTCGTATTTTTATTGTGATATTATTCTAATTGTTTCTAATACGTGGAGTAGTGGTTTTTGTGGTCACGAACGACTGAGATGATGTTCGGGAAATAGGCACAAAAGTAAACCCAATAAATTAAGACAGTAATTTTTTTAGTTTGGTTTTAATTGAATCGATTTCTAGTATAAATAAAAAGTTATAGTTGGAAAAAACGTCCTTAACTGCAATTTAATCTAGATTTGAAATCACGACGAACGGCTTGCCTTTTTCAAATTTTCAACTCTAATTTTCTTGTCTCCGAAAAAGGCTTACATTCAAAATCGATTATTTTTGTCGGTGATATAGGGTCAGGAAAGGATAAAAGGTCATTCAATTTTCTAATATTGTTTTATGCATGCTGCGTAAACTTTTTCATGAGATATTTCACTAAAAAAAATCAGATATTTTATAATTTTTAAATGTATGTGAAAAAATTTTTGGATCTTTACTTACTAGCACTTAGGATACATCGTTAATTTTAATGACATATCAGATTTACTAGTGCTCATTAAAATTTTCGAGCATCGATAATTCTTGGCTGCTATTTCTCCCTTTCGTTATTTCAGTCACAATGATCGAACAGAAATTGTGAATCCCAAAGCAGAATGAACTACGATTTTTATTCGTTGCCCGCAGACCTAGTTTATAAAGTCTAGAAGATAAGAATTACGGAGAAACACGATTCGATATCCTTGACTTCTCTAATAAATTTGAATTGCTGATTTCAAGTCTACAAACTCCCTAGGCAATATTTGCTTAGCATTTATCACTGCTCTAATCAAGAACCTTGGGATTTCTAAAACAATTGAATATACTTTTTATTGCAAAATTTGTTTGTTGTTTGTTGCATTTTAATCGAGATTATAGAGGAATAATGCTGTTAAGAATCGGCCGCAAAATTAAGCATGTTAAAATGTTTGCAGGTTAAGATTTAGATGAAACAAAACTAAGTCTTACGATGGCTTAAGCGTGTACTTCGGATAGCAATTGAAAAAGTCAAGTTTTTTATTAATTTTTTATTGCTTAGGTGGGTGTATGAGCTCACAGCCCACCTGATGTTAAGTGGTTACCGGGGCTCATAGACGCCTACAACGTAACATTTCTAAAATTTTTATGCCCCCAATTCATAATTATAAACATAAAAAAATTTATTTGTTTACTTAAAATACATAAATGATAGGTTTTAGGAAGAATTTACTATGACATTGTTATCAATACACAGTATGTAATATTTCAAAACATACAATAAAAAACTGAAATTCAAATTCAAAATAATTTTAATACAGATTTTCTATATTAATTTAGTAGGACTGCCCCCCTTAATTATCAAATTGCCCCCTTGTGGGGCGTGTGCTCCACGTTGGGAAACACCAGCTTAGATGTCACCGTAGCCTCTTTTGACTACCCGTCACTGATGTAGAACCCATCCGTATTATCTAGTATCACTAGGCTCATCCACACACTTGCTTCGAGGCAAACCTAGATATTGTTAGACCAACGAACATGGGTTCACAAAAAACGTAATCACTAAATTCATTTAAATTGTCAATTTTAGTGCATGACTGTCTGTTATCCCCTAAAATAACACTACTGCAATGTCTAAGCGATTCCTCGATAGATTCGCAGCAGCGTTTCTTGCGCTTCACACTATCATACTGCTAAAATCTAAAACACGACTAAAAATATAGTACGTTCTATTTACCATTTATACTTATCTATATATTAATACGTGAAGCAAAAACTTTGTATCCCTTTTTACGAAAATTGCGCTGACGGAGGAGTATGAAATTTTCCACAATTATAGAGAAGAAGTGCACAATGATAATTTTTTTTAAATAATGCATAAATGATACATTAAATCAATAAAGAAAACATTACACACACTACATACCATGTATTTGACGCACACACGCATGCGTATGTGGTCAAATTGAGAATAGATGAAATATTGTTTGTCTTTATTAATATTTTTTATAGTGTAGCCTTGGCGAAATTTGTGATTATGGAACTATAAAATACAATCCTAATAGTGTACAAACTTACAATTCCAATTATAGTCGAATTTCGACTACTGCGGGACCTCTAGTACTTATTAAATACTTAATAATATAATAAAGATAAGTTTTGTAAGAATTTAAAACTGGTTTTATTTTCTAAGCATTTAATATGATTTAATTGTAATTTAATTTAAAAGAATGCGAAGCAGAAAGTATGTAAATATAAAAAAAATACAAAGATCGCTTTGGAGTGTAATGAATATAAAAAAAAGTAACATAACATTCCCATTTTCGATCAATTCTTTGTTAACATTTTCAAATACAGCTTTCAGCACACGCGCTCTAACGATATATTGGGAGCCTCGTAAATAAAATCACAAGTTTAAGACCAAAATTTATCGTTTATTATCGGATCAGGTTTTCTGTTTCAATTGTGTTCGCAGCTTGAACTGTGCTCACGAACAAAATAGCGAGACTCATACAAATGAGATCGGTATCGATTTCATAAAAATATAATATATTAAAAGGATTGTGTTTTTATGAAACCACGGTAAAAGTGAAACTTTTTTTCACATTATAGACATTTAACTCTGACAAACAGCATTTACATTAAACACTGACAAAAACAAACAAAATAGCGTGTAACACTGGCACAAATGAGTAATAGTCTATACCCTACACGGTCAGCTGCTGCGAACTATAGGTGCCGCCATATTGGCCTTGGCTGGTCTGCCGAGCGCCTTTCCCTTTATCCCTACTCCGCGGCCGACCGTCACACGACATGCAACACACAGACGAAAAAGTTTGAGCCGATGTAATAAAAGTTTCACGCAAAGTAATGTCTTATGGTCCATTTAGTGGAAAATGCACGACGCAAATGTGAAATCTTCAGCCATGCACGCATACGAGCCCGCAATTCATTTCTTTGTTTATATATGACTATGCTTTATTATAAAATATATATATATGTATATACACACAAATATACATACACATACAATATAATATATATGTATATATCTATGAATATATAAATATAAACAATGTAATGATAGTTTTTCTTCTTAGATATTTGAATCTAATCTAATATATAAAATTCTCGTGTCACGGTGTGCGTGATTGAACTCCTCCGAAGCGGCTCGACCGATTTTCGTGAATTTTAGGTGCATATCGGCCAGGGTGGAGGAGGTGGATCGGACAATATCAATTTTTCATGCCCCTAAATGTTAAGGGTGGTCCACCCTAACTTTTTTATTTATTTTTTAGACAAATTTTGTTGTTTTTATTTTTGTATGATCAGCATAAAAAAATACATACAACCCTAAATTTTCACCCTTCTACGATCAACCTTTATTTTTTATTTGTTAATCCTTACACACTTACAATAAGTTTTTTTTTTCTACACCAGAAATTCCATAGAAATCTTATATATAGCAAAACAACGTTTGCCGGGTCAGCTAGTATATATTATTATATATATATGAATTACAAAACATAATTATTATTGTAAAAAGGTTCTATTTTCAATCTCTTTATTTAGAATATTTATCCCGAACCACTGTCTGACTGACTCGTCAATGCAATGCCTAAGCCACTAGGGTAATAAACTGACAGCTGACGCCTTTAATGTTGGAAACATCCACTAAGGAAGGATAGCCCTGAAGCGGTAAATTAAGCGATTAACGATTGTCTAAAGCTCTGTCGTTTTCAAAGTAAGAAGCGCGAAATTTACAAGCAAGGACAAGATTTTCAAAAAAAAATCCTTAAGAAGAAAAAATACGGGCTCAAAGCTTATGAGGGAAATATTATGTCACCTTTGAAGCATTCTTACTTCAAAGGTAACCTATGAAACTCAATGTCATAGCCCTTATTTATGAAGCTAGAGAAAAAAATAGCTCAATATACTTGTACACCCAGACGAGTAAATGTTATTCTAAAATATTATATATAAAGTAGATAAGAGTGTTTTTTTTTGTATTGTCCTTGTAAGCACACGAGCGTACGGCCCATCTGATGATAAGTGTTTACCGTCGCCCATGGACGACATCAGTTCCAGAGGCACAGCCAAGCCGCTGCCTGCCGTAAGAATAATAGAATGTTTTCCTCAATGCGTTCCCAAAACATTCGTCAGATTGTGATGAATAATTGTGACGGTTTCTGTCATAATTCTGTTAAAATATGAGATCCAACGAGTAGTAACAATAAAACCAATGTTTATTCGTACAATTATCGACAGTCGCTGCGGAGCGTGACTGATTTTGATTAATAGTGTAGATAAAATCAAACCAAGCTTAATCATAGCGTCATCACCTTCACCGAGCACACCCCTCCCTCGTGACCACAACAATTATATAGTTAGAGCTGTTAAACGCGCTTGTTCGGTCGCCATATCCTCGTTGAGCGGCGCTAGTGTAATTGTCAGTTATTGTGTGCCCTGGATGTAAGCGGCATAGAATATAAAAGAACTAGATGGGTAATAATAATTGTAATACAGCCCACTGAGTTCCTCGCCGGATATTCTCAGTGGGTCGCGTTTCCGATCCGGTGGTAGATTCTGCGAAGCACTGCTCTTGCTAGGGCTAGTGTTAGCAAACGTCAGGTTAGAGCCCCTAGAGCTCAACAACTCGCCCGGTGAATCAAATATGACTCCCGAGGTTTTTGCATCGGCATAATTCTATAATTGAGTTAAAATCTTGTAAATTTATTATTAGCAATTCCTGTAATAATTCTGGTAGACTACAACAAAAGCTTGCTAAGAACAGTTTCAGAAGACCGCTGTTTATTTACTTAGTAATTGATTCGTCACTGATATTTAAAGAGATTTATAAAGTTCTTAAGATAACCGGTCACCGTCCTCGTCGAAACCGTCGCTTACGACGAAGGGCTCGACGAGTAAATTAACCCATAGACACAGCCCACTGAGTTTCTCGCCGGATATTCTCAGTGGGTCGCGTTTCCGATCCGGTGGTAGATTCTGCGAAGCTCTGCTCTTGCTAGGACTAGTGTTAGCAAACGTCAGGTCAGAGCCCCGTGAGCTCACCTACACGTTAGGGTGAAGTTGAAAAAGCCTTTCAAGGCTATTAACTTAGGTAGGAAAAAAAAACTTAAGTTAAATCTGATAAGATCATAGCGAATGTCTTCATTTCATTCGAGACATCGTTAGAGTCCATTTTTGAAAATAAGAACACAAATGAAATATTCCCCAGAAATTTCCAACGACACTCTTTCTTTGTTTTCTTTAGTAAATTATTTTTATCACACATAAGCTTAAAGACTTCTCATTATTATGCGGTTGCTGGAAATCAAATTTACTTTTACCACACATTTGGAATAAATTGGTATATTTCGCAAATTTAGAGATAGTCGCAGCAGTTTGACCGGGTATTAATAAAAATATAAATATAAAATACTGGTGGTAGGGCCTCTTGTGAGTCCGCGTGGGTAGGTACCACCACCCTGCCTATTTCTGCCTTGAAGCAGTAATGAGTTTCGGTTTGAAGGGTGGAGCAGCAATTTTTTTTTTTTTTTTGCTTAGAAGGGTGGACGAGCTCACAGCCCACCTGGTGTTAAGTGGTTACTGGAGCCCATAGACATCTACAACGTAAATGCGCCACCCACCTCGAGATATAAGTTCTAAGATCTCAGTATAGTTACAACGGCTACCCCACTCTTCGAACCGCAACGCATTACTGCTTCACGGCGGAAAATAGGCGGGGTGGTGGTACCTACCCGTGCGGACTCCCAAGAGGTCCTACCACCAGTATATGTTGTAACTATACCGAGACCTTAGAACTTATATCTCAAGGTGGGTGGCGCATTTGCGTTGTAGATGTCTATGGGCTCCAGTACCCGCTTAACACCAGGTAGGCTGTGAGCTCGTCCACCCATCTAAGCAAAAAAAAGAAAGAAATTTTATTTAAAAGAGAAAATGACTTGGCTGTTTTTGGACCATCTTCATAGTTGTGATCTTTGCATTTAGCGCCGAGTACCGTACACAAAAGGTAACTCGACGGTCAATCTAGCGTTTCCTATGGCGTCGGACTGCGCCATACAAGCAATTTTCATTATTAATGGTCAAGTTCAAGGATGTTTTAATAGGGACTTTTGTCAATTTGTTTTTGTCGTTCAAACATCAATAATACATCCCAAATAATCGGGAAACAATTTAATAAACTAGAAAGGAAGAATCGGGCGGACTGAAGCAATATACTAAATATAGTAGCTAATTAAAAAAAAAAAATGAACCTAAAATTGTTGCATGCATAACACTAGTCATACCAACACTTACTAGTACCTATTTCTACCATAGCGAGTATATAATGGTATACGACAAGTATTACTCAAAATAAACAAAACAAAACAAAAACAAAATAGTATAATAACTCTAGATTAATTGGTAAGGAAAGTCATGAAGTCAAATGTGCAAAAACAATAATTTGCATTTTCAATGCAAAAGATTAAAATGGTATCTTTAGTGTATATACAGTCCCAAACAAGAGGTAAACTTACTGTTCGGTGGACAATATCTCGAAGATGATCGACAACATTTATGATATCTATTGATCATAGTATTAAAAGTAAGTCATACTAATTGCTTTGATAATCACTATTTTTGGTGTTGAATTTTGCTCTAAGGGTACTTTAAGGCGTTCGGTACTTGTCACACTATAACTATGAACCTACGTAAAACTCAAAATACATAAATGCGGGCTGTTTTGATACGTAGTTCAATATTGCCAATTTTTTTAACGCTTATATTTATTGTCAATGGACACATAAAAACAACGAGGAAGAGTAAAATCTAAGAAGTTTGTACAGAGCACTCAGGTTGTCTCATTGTTTTGAACTGCTTTAGAAACCGATAATATGACGGAACTCGCCTATTCTGTTCTGTAATGTTAACATTCGCTCTTTGCTAAATAATTAGATTATACCAAGGACTAGCTAAACACGACAGAAGCCGTATACTATACGCATTAAACAGTGCATTCAGAAGTACAGATAATGGTGGACGGTTAGATATTTTATTATTTATAATACTTTACTATAGTAATAGTTAGTAAGTAGTAAAGTGAGCTCTATTGAGACAGAATACTCCATTGTAATGAAATGACAGCTAATTTTTTAAATTCGAACAAATTATTGATTACCGTCAGAAGCGAAGTGGAAGATGATAATCACGTGGACTTAAATTTTATTTTGATGATAATAAACGTATTTTCTCTTTATTTCAGTCGTGGATCCCGGTGTGGTGAAGACTGGAGCGTATAAATATGAAGACGGCACTCGCTACGTCGGAGAATGGAATGCTAAAGGCCAGAAACATGGGATGGGTCACTTGGTCCTACCCGACGGAACCAGATATGACGGAGCCCTGATCGGAGGATTGTGTTCTGGACTTGGGGTGATGGCGTTTCCTGATGGCGCAAAGTAATTAATTTTGTTCACTGGTTTTTCTATTTAATACTACCGGTTTTTCACTACAATTTGCTTAATTGGATTGATCAGAATCACGTGCGCGATTTGGTTAATTGTAATAGGTGTCCTCCTAAAATGTAGGACATAGAATGGAATACTTAAACTTCATGTTTCAAAGTATGAGTATGGTACAACCATGTAAAATAACTTAAACTACAACGTCATGCCTCAATGAGGGCGTTTGCATACAAGTAAAGATGTCTATGGGCTCCAGTGACTATAATATTAGACGAGACATTACCTGGCAATATAACATCGTAAAAAAGGATATACGAACGTTTATCGCCTTATAATTGGCTTAAAAAAAAATCTACCGTAAAGGTGCCTACTAATGCCAATTAATTTGGATGACTTCTCAAAGCTACATAATTTTATTTAACCCTAAAACGTAGAGCGCTTTGAACGTAGTCTTTTAACTCTTAAATTAAATTAATTATTTGTCGGGCTTTTACTATTGAATTCCGTTGATAAAATTTGCAGCTATTGTTATCAGTTTGGGAGCTCGCGAAATATGATTATAATATACAGATCGTATGATCGTCTGTCTACAAAGGCATTAAAACATATATTTTACAGATTAAAACAATTTATACTAAGACATAAAATTTCATAATTCTTAAACTATCTTTATATGTGACGCACTATCGCAGACGTGTTTTTTTGTGTAGCACGTAATATACTCGCATTTATATATCGGGTGATGTTCGAGATCCTACTACCTACGGCTACTAATGAATATTAACCTACTAAAGTATTTTGTAAATGCATAGATTCAGTTTCTACTGAAATTATAGATAATACACATAAATTAGTTATAGATAAGCAACTCAAGCAATCAACAAAAATGTTTACGGGCGTCGACCAGTAGATGGATTCGCTTCGATTAGTTTCTCATTGCTCCTGTAGGTGGCAGTAACATATTACATATTCTATATTTTATTTTTAATGAAGGAGTTTGTACATTTTCAGAAACCACAAATTGATAAAATTTAATCAATTTGTCTTTAACAAATAAATACCTGTATGATTTTTTTTTTCTGTGTTTGGTTTTAATATAATTAAATGCCTTAACTTTAACAACATATAAGTTTAGGGGCATCCGCTACAAGATGTCGCTAGTTTCCACATGGCGGTAGTCTCGTGGGCTAGGTCTAAATATTTTATTAATTTGTCCTTTTCTCGTCATGAGGAATGGTGATATCAACCAACACTGCTCGACGCGTCCTAGTATAGTATTGATCTTAGGTTGTGTTCAATATGAAATAGATGTGTAAGGTTTTTTTTATTTACACTTTTTTATTTACACTTACTACATTGAATTTTTTGTTGAAGTCGGTAGAAAGACTTTCGTCGTGACGTGTCCTCGTAATTCATTTGAATTCGACCTAATCAAAACAGCAATTTTTTTGCGCCCTTCGGCTCCATCCAAGAATCATGGTCAATCTCGTTTTCGACATACGATATTTCGTGAATAATCTTTGTCTTTTTCTGGTAATCTTATTTTATAGTGCTTAATATTTTTTATGTACTGCCAGCGGACTTACTAATAAATATATTTTATTATGTAGCTACTTACAGCTTTTTAATCAGCATATATGCGAATGCTGTTACTCAAGTTGAGATAACAAATATATATTGCATAGATGGTTGGATGAGCTCACAGCCCACTAGTGTTATGTGGTTACCGGAGCCCATAGACATCTACAAAGTTACTGCAGCTACCCACCTTGAGATATAAGTTCTAAGGTCTCAGTATAGCTATAACGGCTGCTATACCCTTCAAACCTCAACGCATTACTGCTTCACAGTGGAAATAGGCAGGGTGGTGGTACCTACCCGTGCGGACTCACAAGACGTCCTACCACGTAATTTATCATAGTCGACATGACTAGACAACGTAGCAGTTGTACTACGAAAGCGTGCATGTTGCGTATCTTCAACAAAAAACGCTACTGCCCACATAAGACCCCGACTTTATGCTGGGAGATCAACATGGCCGACTGTGTAATGTGACTTAGAATTTTTTATTAAAGTAAAGGTGAATCAGATTAGCCCACTGTTTTGATTATAAAGTTGACGCAATTAAAAAATTCATGTACCTTTTAAGAGTAAAATAAACACGTTTACTTGATTTCTTTGGTCAATTATTTTTCAGATATGAAGGAGAGTTCATGCAAGGCTGGTTTCACGGTCACGGTGTATTCTGGCGAGCTGATGGTATGAAATTCGAAGGGGAATTCCGAGGAGGCCGGGTATGGGGTTTGGGTAGGTTGTTTCTTTTGTATTACTTGTCTACTTTATGTAGAGCTCTTGAACCCACCTAGTGCTAAGTGATTTTTGGACCCCGTGGTCATTTTCATGTGAATAACCTGACTTAAGATATTACTATTTTTTAACGGCTGTCCATTTTTTTTCTGGAGCGCATTATTTCTTTGCGCCAGAAATAAGCAGGATGATGCTACTATGTGAGCTCACAATACTACTAACCTCCTACTACTTTTAAAGACATTATTAATTTATTTCATAATTTCAAGAAAATCAAAAGAAACATCGCTTTTATACATAAATGTGATTATTCATTTTTGCCCGCGTGGCATCCGATTTCGCTACCAGGAAATTCAGACCACGTACCTTTACCGAACTCCCATTGAAGCTTTTCACGTTTGCTGTCTTTTAACATATGACATTCTGAAACTAGATCCCTCGGGGAACATCGCGTGAAAAGGTTCGCAATCTTGGGGATTGAAGGAAAGCTTCGACAAGTACCGGATACAAGTGGGCTTTAAGTTATTGCCGCCGAAAGGCATTTAGGGTGCGATCTTTAAAAGCTCATAACGAGTTAAAACTTGAGGAAAAGGTGGAATTTGTTACGCTTTACCAGATATCGACCGCTGAAAAAAAATTATTGAAGTCTAGTGCTAGTTGAAATTTAACCGAGAAAGAATCTTGCTCAGGGGACTGTTGGAAAGATAGGTTGATGCAGCCCCGCTTTGTCATCTCGTCACGGTTTAGAGAAGAGCGAAGTAAAGCTCTCGACTTTAGTATCGTTCTATAAATGTTTTTTTTTTTTTATTGTTTAGATGGATGGACGAGCTCACAGCCCACCTGGTGCTAAGTGGTTACTGGAGCCCGTGGATATCTACAACGTAAATGCGCCACCCACCTTGAGATATAAGTTCTAAGATCTCAGTATAGGTACAACGGCTGTCCCACCCTTCAAACCGAAACGCATTACTGCTTCACGGCAGAAATAGGCAGGGCGGTGGTACCTACCCGCTCGGACTCACAAGAGGTCCTACCACCAGAAAATGTGTTCAATTGATTCTTGAAACGCATTATATTCTTTTCTTAAACTGGCAGGCAATTTCTCTGTTCATTGTACGTTGTGAAATTTACGAGTCCACACCAACCACCCTTTTTTTTTTCTTTTTTTTTTCGCTGGGGAATCCGTTTACGGATACCAGGGACAACAACCACCCTACCAATTTTCGACGCGAACTACCTTCCGTTTCGAAGAGTACAATATACTATATACATGTAGGAATGGAACGGTATGGATGAATGACAGATATGGAGCATGACTGAGCGAGAGAGATAGGAGATGTCGTGTTAGGAAGTAAGAAAGACGGCGAATGAATGTGGAACATTAATTTTTTTTCGCAAGAGGAGGGGTAGTTGCCGGACGCGACGGCAGACTCACGCGATTTAATTCTGAAGACGAAAGACTTTTATATTTTAGTTACATAGATTAAGACGATTAAGACGAAATAATAAATCTAGTTTGTATCAATTCATCAACCGTTTTACTGGCCCACCCTGTATATAAAACCCTACATACATATATTATAGACTTCATTTATCTCAAAGTGTGTGGCGGCGTTCACGTTGTGATGGTGAGCTGATTCACGCGTCTGAGTATAAAAAATTCCATAATTCAAATTAACATTTTCGTAGGGTTTTCGCGAGTCATAGGAATAATTAAAAATACGCTTACGGTTTATTCTTTAATCATGTCCGTGTCGACGAAAATTGTGAAGTCTTCAAATTATGCTGATAATTTATGACCTCATGTCTCAAGGTGGATCGCGAAATTCACTTTGTGATATTTATTGGTGGATTTTATTGGTGGTAGGACCTCTTGTCCGTCCGCGCGGGTAGGTACCACCACGCTGCCTATTTCTGCCGTGAAGCAGTAATGCGTTGTAGATGTCTATGGGCTCCAGTAACCACTTAACACCAGGTGGGTTGTGAGCTCGTCCACTCATCTAAGCAATAAAAAAATATATTAGGCCATCGTTTTTAAAACACGATGGCCCAATAAGTCCACTAAACCAGTACAATATAAGATCGTAGTGTGGTTTAATATCTCAAAGCTTTCATATAGATGTATCGTCCGACTTCTTGCATAAACGCTAGGACCTATATTATATTCTATTTTCCTAAAAAATGTAGAATCATGTTTCGTTTTACTCGGAAGCAAATTATTTATTGTGATAGATGAAAAGACTTTAAGAGCCTCTGTATCAAGTGACTGAAGAATAAATTGCTTATAAATCCTTGTTTAATTTTGAAGATAGCTTTATGTAGATAGAGAAGATTGGGAAACGTACTTTTTACCTTTAGAGCCTGAGGTGATTTATTGGTATTAATCTTATTTTCAGATTAACTATACCAAGAATTTATATCGAAGTTAGACGAGAAAAGATAATGTTGTTTGCAATCTTCCTGTGACTCATAAAGACGGTCTAAGAAAAAGAAGTCCAACTTGGAATATGAGATACAACTTTCATTCTTAGTTGTACATATTATAATATATTGACCTCTTCGTAACTGGAATAGGCAGGAAGTGGCTGCTTACGAATGCGGGCTCAGAATATTCCATAAAATCAGCAATAAAGCTGTTTTATTATAAATTTATTATTAGGCATAAGTTTTTCAGTGAAATGTATATCGTACTTAAAAGAAAACTATTAAATTTTCAGGTCTGGTCACATTCAATGATGGCAGCAACGGATTCCCTCGTAACGAAGGTTTCTTCCAAGACTGCAGGATGATGAGAAGGAAGCGATGCCCTGAAGTCGTTCAGAGAGCCCAGAAAGTAGCTTACATGGCCAGGGCTCAATGTCAACAGTTTTAAGCCAAAAATACACAGTTAATAATAAAACCCATTGTGGTAGTTCAAAAAGCATTTTGTGTTGTATCTTTTAATTAGAACAACGCTTGCATTCGACGCCCGTGGTTTTCAAATCGATTCATATATCGTCTTTTCGTATTAAAAGTGTACAATTTCCAAAAATATTCGAAAATGAGTTAATATGCGGAATGATTTGGTATCACCAGTATTTTTCTCATAAATACTGTCAAAAGAGCGTAGTTTAGTTTTTTTTTTGTAAAAAATATAATGTTGCAAAGATGATTAATATTAAAAATATCACATGTTAAACCTTTAAAACACTCTCCTGCAAAATTAGTAAGTTTTGAGATTATACAGTTTTAATGCGAGAAGACGATATGTGTTTTTAGTACTGAAGGAGGAAAGAGCTCACGGTCTGCCTGGTGGTAAGCGGTAACCGGAGCTCGAGAAGTAGCTTTACTTGATTTCGTTGGTCTCTATCTGATCTTTTTAGTGATTACCTATGTGGGGCATTAAGCTTCGTGCTTTACATATACGGTGGAGGGAGTGGGTTGCACATCGGCGCAGCGGAGTTAGGGAGAGCCGCCCTCAAACATTCAACGAATCTGGTATATTTGTACCTATTTCATTTTGACCGTGCAATTATTAGAGGGCGTGTGCACCACACGGGCAGTACAAGGGCTGGAGACATCACAGTGGAATGCGGCGACCCACCTTGAGACATGAGATCTAAGCTACCAGTCCATATTAACAGGGAGCCCAAGCCTGGGTAGAGGGATTCGCCTTGAGGTTCACTCAGTGTTCCTGTAGGGGAGCACGACAACCTTGCTGGCTGAGCCTTTACTAGCCCATCTGTCCAGGTGAAAAGGCTTCTGGGCTACCAGTAATCCTTCGATCGTGAAAAAAAAAAGAAAGATCGCGTCGATTCCACCTGCGCATTCAGTTATTCAAAGATTTTCCTTTATAAAACTTTCCTTAAAAATACATTGTTGCTCCATTATATAAATGCTCTCATCTTCTTTTGATCATCGCACCTCCCGCCATCGGAGCAGAGTTCATCCATATTATCTGGAACCGCTGCGTTCATCGACAGTGCGTTTCCAGAGGTATTTTTTGTCACGTACCATCCGGCTATGGAATGAGCGCCCCTCCACGGTGTTTCCCGAGCGCTATGACATGTCCTTCTTCAAACGAGATTTGTGGAGAAAGTTAAGCAGTAGGCAGCAGCTTGGCTCTGCCCCTGGAATTACTGAAGTCCATGGGCGACGGTAACCACTCGCCATCAGGTGGGCCGTATACTCGTCTGCCTGCAAAGGAAATACAAAAAAAATATACGTCCGATACTCGTCAAAAAAATTACTACGATCACTGTACTACGAGATGTGATGTCAAGTATGATTATCTGGCTAGCTATTTATAAAAATCGAATAGTTTAAAATAAAACATCGAAACTAGATTAAATGTTTATTTGATCTATGTATAATTTAGTAAAAATAGCACAGTGTAAATAATATTAAAGAGAAGTCCTTAAATTAAGTTTTTTTAATCAACTGATGTAATAAATATTATGGTTAACTATGTTTAGCAATCTTTAAGTTTTTTGGCGGCTATCGTTTCGTCATCGTCCAGACACTGCCCGTATCTGACTTCCATACACTTGCTTCCCTGTAACAGATAAATAAACGGTACATAAATTTTACTAGATGATAGATACATAAATTATAATGATATGGAGTATTTCAGAATGAATAAACAATAAAAGATTTAATTGTGTTTTCTGTGATATAATAAGAAAACAACTTTTAAAGCCCTTAATCTCTATTAAAATGAATATTAAAAATTAAACAGTATTAATGAACTTTATAAAAGTAAGCTCTCTTTTTACTCAATCCCAGACTTCGCTATATGACATTGAAGAAAAATCCTTTTTAAAAACTAAAGAGTTTTAAATAATAAAGATTTTTCTTTAAATACATATTTTTCATGACGCTTGTAGCTCAGATAGCGTAATATCAGGTGACATCAATGTATTTTTGAACATAATGTGATTCTATTACTCGTACTAATTAAGAGATTAGAAAAAAATTGTAAAACATCATGATTTTAAAAATACTTTATTCTGAAATTGGCGTAAAGATGTTTCTAGGTACCACTATATTAGAACCAATTGTAGTTTCAAATATTCAATTAAGTAATTAAAGTGATGGATAACCTACTTTAATGGCTATAGACTCTAATTTCGAGAATAATAAATGGAAATGGCTTAGAGAGAGCTTCTCCTTTGCATCCTATACCTTAGCATCTCATAGGTTAACTAGTTTGGTTATATATTTTTTAAATTTCGCTACTAAGNTAGGTACCACTATATTAGAACCAATTGTAGTTTCAAATATTCAATTAAGTAATTAAAGTGATGGATAACCTACTTTAATGGCTATAGACTCTAATTTCGAGAATAATAAATGGAAATGGCTTAGAGAGAGCTTCTCCTTTGCATCCTATACCTTAGCATCTCATAGGTTAACTAGTTTGGTTATATATTTTTTAAATTTCGCTACTAAGATCTCGCTGCTCTTGAAGCAAATGTAACTTTATTTTTAAAAAATGATTGGTAATGGATCATACAAATTATTATCTATTACCCTAGCTTTAATTTATTTCCATCTTTCTGAAAGAGTTCGAATATCCTGACTATAGAATTGATCGTCTTTTGCTGCTATCTACGAATTAATCAGATTTTTTATGTCTGTATATGATCTGTAACAGCCGATCAGTCAGACCACATTTCATCGAAGGGAACAAATAATAATCGGATGCCGCATTATCTGGGGAATATGGCGAGTGGACTTGCGATTTTAGCGGGTCATGCGTAATAAGAAATCCTTTATATTCCTTTACAGTTATAAATACCTATACGCACTTAGTTGGGCGATTTTATTGTGAATTAAAAATTGGATTACGACACGGAATACGAACGAATCAATCATCCAACTCGCTCATTCAAAATTGCTTGTCAAACATTTTTGGGTTTTCATAATATAAATTTACCTTGACGATTTACCTGTATACACAAGCTAGCTAAGATATTTTTAAGTCCGAAATCTCAGAACTAACTTCGTTAACGGAAGTCACGCTTCGTGCCTCAATATAAAGTAAACATTGCTCCGTCTCGAGAGTAATCATAACGTAACTTGAAAGTGTAATGCCATAACGGAACCAGCCACAGCCAGCTTTCACTCGGAACCAACATTATGCAATCGAAAATGCAATTAGTTTGCATTTAATGATTAATATATTTTATATTTTTAAATTTTCTACATTCCGAACAATCAATTTGGGCTCTGCGAATTATGTTTCGGTGTTTATACCAGGAAATGTTTCTATTTTGAATGATAATGAATAATCAGAAGAAACGCATACGCGTATTTCAAAGTCATGAGTTACTGCAATTAATTTAATACTATTTTACTATTTAAATGAGGATTTAAGCCGCTTGTAACACATATAAGTATGCAAAACTAACAAGGCTCAGCTCCAATTGCATTCTACCACAGCAGGACGTTGATACTTTGCCGTATTGGCTCGGAATAAGATTTATAATGCTCTGATATAATACCGCTCCTTACCTTTGCAATATAAGCCTTCATATAGAAGTTACCGAACAGAATGATGAAGGAAATCATGTAGAAGATCAGTACGTAGTGCATCCAAAGCGGGAACTCACAGCCGGTTCTGATTCCGTTGATGCCGAGAACCAAAGCGCATGTGAACTGGATCTATAAGAGGTCAATACATAATTTGTTATCTGAGATTTTAAAATGCTTGTGTTTTTGTTATCTTTGTGATTTTTTTTTTGTTATTGTGTAGATTGTAATTTACGTAATCGAATTAGTTTAGTTAGTTTAGTAACGGTGTTCGAATCCCGCAGGCTGGTGCCAATTTTTCTAATGATACGTACTTCACAAATGTTCACGATTTACTTCCACGGTGAAGGAATAACATCGTGTAATAAAAATCAAACTCGCAAAATTCTAATTTGCGTAATTACTGGTGGTAGGACCTCTTGTGAGTCCGCACGGGTGGGTACCACCACCTATTTCGGCCGTGAAGCAGTAATGCGTTTCGATTTGAAGGGTGGGGCAGCCGTTGTAACCATACTAAGACTTATAAGAAGAGCTTATATCTCAAGGTGGGTGGCGCATTAACGTTGTGGATGTCTATGGGCTCCAGTAACCACTTAACACCAGGTGGGCTGTGAGCTCGTCCACCCATCTAAGCAATAAAAATATATAAAACAACAAGTGATTAATTTAAAAGCAAATTTTGAGACTACATTTTTCTTGGTAAGACTGACGAGACTAGCCAATATAATGACATCGTTATTATCAGTGATTATCGTAAATATGTGCTAATTCATACTTTCTAGGCAATAGCGTGCATGCTATTCGTAGAATACATTGCCACAGACCCACGGTTATGTGAAGTTCAGAATAAACCATATAAAATATCGCGTACAATAAACAAATAAATAGAAAACTTATCTCAATAATGGTATTTGCGGATTGTAAAATTCGATTGTCTTCCGAAAAACATGAAAACCATTTCAAAGCAAGACATTAAATTAAATAAGACAATCAGTTATGAGAGCTATGTCTATTTTTGCCGAGAAACAGTCCCAGAGTCTGGTTTGGAAAGCCCGCTGTTCCAGTAAATCATCCAGAGCAAGCCCTTTCTTTTTTTTTCGGGCCAGTGGCCAAACCTCCTACGAGGTCCCCACACCTAGGACTTAGTGATATGCTAATGTTGGGAGCAGACCCAAGGAATTTTAGGGCTTTACCGCACTAAACGACTCCCCTGCACTCTTACACATGACGTTCGATCTCCGTCCGGGGTCAGAACCCGGTCAGAGTAGGGGGGGTTCCGTCCAGATCGAGCCCCTATTTAACTCTATCTTAATAAGATTTGTGTCTTTACATTGAGATGTCCATGGGCCTCGATAACCATATAATACAAGGCGAGCCGTGAGCCGGCTGAGAACAAACATAATTTTTAAGGTTCACGTACCAGTTGCATGATCGTGAGATACTTCTTCCACCACAAGTACTGACTGACCGTCGGACCGAAAACTGAGAGACCATAGTAAGTGTACATCAGCACGTGGATTCCACTGTTCACCATGGCGGGAAGGAAAGCTGAAACAAAAATGTATAATTTTATGAGTACATCTCTGAGTTTTGTGACTACAGAACAATCACTATTTTTCTCTATATGTGGTAAGCAGACGTCTTTGGCCTATTGATATGAAACTGCTACCTAACACGTTAAACGCTTCATAAAAAAATTGAGTATCTTCATTCAGGTCATGGTGCTCACCGGTGAGCCTTACGTTAATGAACGCGTGAGGATTCCAACGTAAGCGCTTCCTACAAGCCACAGATTGCAGCTATCAAATCAAATGCGTATGGAAGTGAGCCGCGTGGCCCTTTAGCCGAACCGAACGCATTTGTTTTCAAATCCAATGGAAAGTTGTAGTTTTTATCAAAATTATATTTTTTTTATTGCCCTTGTAGGCAGACGAGCACACGGCTCACCTGATGGTGAGTGGTTACCGTTGCCCATGGACTTCAGCAATGCCAGGGACAGAGCCAAGCCGCTGCCTACCGTTTAATACTCTCCACAAGCCTTGTTTGAAGAAGGACATGTCATAGCGCTCGGGAAACACCGTAGAGGGGAGCTCATTCCATAGCCGGATGGTACGTGGCAAAAAAGACCTCTAGAAACGCACTGTGGATGACCGCAGTGGCTCCAGGTAGTAGATGAACTCTACTCCGGTGGCGGGCGGAGCGATGGTAAAAACGAGATGACGGTATCATCTCGAACAGTTCCTCAGAGCACACACACAAAATTATAGCCTTTTAAAATATCTTAAAAACTAGGCGGTAAAAGTCAAAATTTTTTATCTTCCGCGCAAATATCGCATTTTATAAATTTTATAATGAAAATCTCAAGTTGATAAAAATTTATGATTTCCTGATTTTGGCTTGGCCCGAATGGTATAGTACGCTAAGCCCACCGGTGGGCTGCATGGCATTCAACGTGTTAAACTCTCATTTGTTTTTCTTTAGATGGGCAGATGTCTTCGGCCTATTAATATAAGTTGTTACTGAAACTCATAACTATTATTCAAATGCATTTGTCACTTTATACCTAAATAAAGTTCTAATTAAGTTAGATTTCCACACAGAGATGTAGTGTAATGTGTAACTCCTTTAGGGACCCCGTGTACATCTTTACAACAATGACCCTCAATGTTATAGATACATCATTATTCTCCTGCCCTTCTCCCAATCACCTGGGGTCGACGCAACATGTACCCTTCCGTACTCTTCTTCTATCATGTACCATTTGTTCGCTCACTCCTCTTATACATATCGTCTTTCACGAAATCCATTCATTTTTCTTCTGGTCGACCTCTTCCTCTTCCTCAATGCTACATATACCTAAACTTAAAACAATATCAAGAACCTTTGTAAAGTAAGACAATAATTGTCTAAATTCAGTAATTATCTAGCAGATAGCGCTTTGTGAGAATGAGCCCCAGACAGTTACATTATATTTTTTTCATTTTTATATATTTTTTCAACTAGCAAGAAATGATTAATGGTAATTAAAAAAATATTGACTCGCCTTTGAAGTGTTCTCAGAATCTCCTTTTAGAGCCGGTGGCACATATGCCATGTTTTGACATATATTATATCGAATAGGGTATTAATTACGTTTAAGTTGAAATAAATGATTTATTTATATGTAAAAATGTAATTTAATACAAAGCAGATAAACGGAAAATTAACTTCACATTTAAAGTTTAAAAAAAACCGTTAAAACAATTTTGAATTGTATATAAGACTGATGAAAAGAGTTGAAATTAATAAATAAAGTTTAAAAAAATTTTTTTTTATTGAATTACACCTACAATTTAATGCCGCATTCAAATTCACGCTGAAATCGTATCACAATGACTTCCACAAGTAACCTTTAAGCCACTAAATTGACATTCGGATAAAGAAAATTAATCCTATAAACCAGTTTTCACACCAAACAATATTTCTCATGAATTCCATTAGCAGTTGTTTGACTTAAGATTATCGAGCTCAATTACTTTAACTTCGAGGTATTAATCGGGCATTTCACCAGAACTTTCTTTACCCAGTGACTAATCGTAAAAAAAAAATTTGGGTTTTACAGTCTCCGCACAGTAACCCAACCACAAATAGAATTTGCCTATTTTAACCGTCCGAAAAACGAGAAAGGGAAATGAAATGCTAATTTTTTTTCTTAAATATTAAATTATCATTTCTAAACGAAATTAGTTAAGTATTTTCATAAAAGTCGTATTGGGCCCGACTCGGAGCTATAAAAAGAAAATAAATTCATATTTAAAAAGGAAAACCAATGAGACATTTCAATTAAGAGTTACCAAGAAGGCTTCACTTTCCCTTAATACAGCTCGTTAATAAAGATGTAATTGAATTAAAAAAAAATACTCATCTGGCAAATCAACGGTTAATTTAATTTTCTGACTACAACAAGAAAGTGATTACATTATATATCAGAAAGTACGGTTACAAAGGCCAGTTCTGAATTGAGAACGAACGTTACTGTGAGAAGCAAACAGTGTTTTCTTTACTACATTTTAGTGGAACATATGATTGTTGGAACAGGCTAGAAAATTCATTGTTCTTGTTTCCTCGAAAGGTCCCTTTATAGCGACATGTAATCCTGAGACCCATTATTTAAGCATTTATATTACAATTTGAGGAAATAACAATTGAAATCATACAATGTCAGATTGAGGAGCTTAACAGTCCCGACTTATAAACAATTGAAGAACATTTCATATTAGTTTAAAGTATTTAGAGCAACAAAATGTGAGTTGTGGTGTAAAATAAGGCACGTTTCTGAAATAAAGATGCTAAGTTTATTTCTATACCGTGCGTTGAAATCTGAGCAAAGAAGTTTCTATTATTTTTTGATGCCATTGTAATATAAAACGCGTGTGATATTTTTAAAAGATAGAGAGATGAAAAGATATGTCACTAAAACACTTTTAAAAATCTCTTAACGATACGTGGATTCTCAAGAAAATATTATGTAGAAAGTTTCAAGTCTCAGTCAAAAATAATAGTACTAAGNTCTATACCGTGCGTTGAAATCTGAGCAAAGAAGTTTCTATTATTTTTTGATGCCATTGTAATATAAAACGCGTGTGATATTTTTAAAAGATAGAGAGATGAAAAGATATGTCACTAAAACACTTTTAAAAATCTCTTAACGATACGTGGATTCTCAAGAAAATATTATGTAGAAAGTTTCAAGTCTCAGTCAAAAATAATAGTACTAAGCATCCAATAAGGAATACGCTTCAGAAAAGAGTACCCATTATTAGTTTGGGTGTTAATATTTATTTATTTAAAATATAAAAATTCTAGGATATGAATGATACTCACTAGATCCACTAGGCACCCATTTGATTCCAATCCACCAGAACGAAAACATGGTCGAGTGATGGTAAACATGCAAAAATGTCAGCTGCTCATCCTTCTTCCTCAGTATAAAGAAGAAGGTATCACAAAATTCCAGAAGCTTCGAAAAATAGTACCACCATACCGCATCTGCTATCTGTGAAACAAATTAATGTTTCTAAGGCAACATACAAATCTAATTAATAGGATTAATTAGCTTTAAAATTTCACTAACAAATGTTTTTCTTATAAGTAACTTAAACAGTAATATTTAAAAATAATTTCTTTATTTTAATTAGAAAATGTCAATTATCGAATTTGTAATAATAATAGCCATGCATCATGCGACTAACATTGATTTGCAAAGAAAAATATAATTGGCATTCGTTACAAGGGTTTGTTGCACACAACATCAATTAATGTGATTTAGGTATGCCTATTGGGTGTGGTATATATATTCACCGTGACTAAAGTAAACAACTCATTAACAATTCTTTTCAGACGTGAAAATTTTCAAATGTTTTTGTTCGTGTAGCCTCTTAACTTCATTTACATTTCTAAAGGGATGTTTAAGTTAATTCTTTCGAGAGACCTTGACAAAGTGTGACGGTCATTTTCGTAGCGCGAAAGTTAGCAAAGCCCTCCATTATCACAAGCGGACCCGTTTGCTGTTTACAGATGAACGTCAAAGAGATTCTCAAACAATTTCTGCGAAACATCTTCGTTTTTGCTTTATGTCCCTTTGTCTTGTTGAAATTCTTCATGACCAAGTCTTGCATTAGATATTTTTTTAGTATTCATCTGATTTTATACCAAAGATTCTGCCTTAGGCTCTATTGCAGGTAGAAATATGTTGTGACCGGTTAAATCTATACTAATATTATTATTATTATATATATTATAAAGAGGAAAGATTTGTTTGTTTGTTTGTATTGAATAGGCTCCGAAACTAATGAACCGATTTGAAAAATTCTTTCACTGTTTGGAAGCTACACTATTCCCAAGCGACGTAGGCTATAATCTTTTTTGAAAAAAATAGGGATCCTTACTAAAACTCCAATAATGTAACCCAAAGTGTAAAAAAATTACCTAAAATATTCTTTACATCGCGTGCCCTGCGAAAACTATTGATGATAGAATAAAATTATGTACTATGACTTTGTAGAACATATTATTATTTACAAAAATTGTCGCGACAGCATATGTCTAACTATTGTAGTTATGCCGCAATAAGTGTTCTTTTATTTTCAAAAATAAAACAACGCCAAATAACGTTGATCTCTTTGTTAAAGACCCGAATGGAGCCGGAGCGGGCCGCTAGTACCACATAAGTCGCTTAGCTAGTTTACCTTAAAATAAATAATTTGAGAGACACTCTTAATTTTTGCACCTTTTCAAAGACAAATTAAACTACACAGAACGCGGGCTGTTACCAAATTCTCTCAGGTTGAGCCCGTGAGCTCACTTACCCATCCGGGCTTAGCTAGAACAGCCCACTAGTCTACCAGCGAACAGATTGGGGAAAAAATACAGCCTTTGTTACTACTTTCTTCTTCGTTCATTTACTGGTGGTAGGACCCCTTGTGAGTCCACGCGAGTAAGTACCACCACCCTGCCTATTTCTGCCGTGAAGCAGTAATGCGTTTCGGTTTAAAAAAGTGGGGCAGCCGTTATAGCTATACTGATATCTTAGAACTTGTTTCTCAAGGTGGATGGCGCATTTACGTTGTAGATGTCTATGGGCTCCAGTAGCCACTTAACACCAGGTCGGCTGTGAGCTCGTCCACCCATCTAAGCAATAATAATAAAAAATACTAACCTGCAATTCGTCCGGGTCATATTTCTGCCGGCAAGGTTCACAAATATAACTATATCTTAATCTAAATGAGGCTGTCAGTAACCTGACAGCTATATAGGCATTTAGCGCAGCCATGGCTAAGTTGTAGGGTACTAAAAGCCATGTTAATTGAAATGGCTTTCTGTTTTTCATTAGCTTAGGACCGATCCACACTATGAAGAGGTAGGCTAAAGTGTAAAACGCAGTCGGCAGCGGCGAGTCAACCAGTGGCCATCCCTTCGTTCTATCATCTGCGAATAATGTTTACAATAACTGTTATAGATATAGGAAGATTCTAGAAAAATAATAATTTGTTAGAGATGGGTTGTCAGTCGCTTAAGAAATATTTAGTTCCTTAATTTACATATAATTAAAACTATTTTTACGTCTGACTGAGTAGTCCATGACCACAAAAAATTTAAAGTATTTAGATTAGAGGAGTTTAAAATGTAAAAATGGTTTTAATTATGTCTACGACTGCCGAAAACTAAACAAAGGTGTTAAGGATCTCTAAACCCCCCTCCAAACAAGTTTTTATTCTCGCCTACTACCGAGCTTCACTTCATCGAGCGATCGCGAACACATATACACTTTGGGGGGGATTAGACGACAAAGGGAAGATCTTCCACCGAGCGGATGATATTGCTCGGTAGACCGACGGTCCGAACGTTGTTGTTCGGAACTTGTATATATGCGCTTTATCTTGAAAATGTCGTAAGCGAGATTCAGGCATCTGTCAATTATCTTGCGTTGTATGATGGCTACCCGCCACACATCTTTAACGATTACATTATCTACTAAACTCATATTGCACTTCATTATTATTTGTTCTACAGTTTTAATCTTTTAATAAACCTGTAAATACTAGCCAAATCGTTTCATTGAAGAGAACAACAAGACATCCAGCAAGGAACAAAGCAAACATAAACATATAAAAATTTCAAATCTATTACTGCTTCCCACCTTGAGACAATAGGTCGAAATTTTAAGTGAATTGATATTGCGTGGCGGCAAATATAACCAGAATGGTAATTTCTACTTATATGCCTTACCACTAGTGATAGTATTTATCGCAACGAATGTGATATGACGAATTTAGCGACATTTTCTTTTTAGTAGTGCAAAAATAATCCTGCAAGAATATACTTCGACGTGACCAGAACAATTTGTCCCTTCAATCGAATATAACCAACTGAAACTTCAATCGTGTCATGTCTCATGTCCCAAAGGCGGTTTCAGATACTGCTTCCGTTAACCACTAAACATCATATAGTTTGTGAGCTGATCGATCCGAATACAAAACCAAGGTACTGATAAAAACTTGAAACAAAAACGTTAAAAAAAGGGTGCGTGTACTTATGTACGCGCGTAAGAAGTTATACTTTATTTTTATTAAATTTATTTCTTTTTTTTTTTAATATTAAATAATTAATAATAAATCTTTAACGTTAATAATTTAATAATATTTAGTATGAATTATATTAAATAATAATTTTGTCATTTACATTACTAAAAAATGAATGCTAATAACACTTTCTTTTACGAGTGTACATGCGCGAAAGTTCACCTGCGGCTATATTCAGACTCGCCAAGTTACGTCGGTCGTATTGTAATGAGCGATTTAGTGGGCAACTTCATTCTGTTAATTTTTTGTCACGGTGCGCGCGCATCTTAAATTTCACTCTCATCAATTTTTCATAACGCGCCTAAAGAAGTTTAACTTCAAAAATTATTTGAAAGCGATACGGTAAGATAATGTGAGCAATAATTCTACATGACGATCACGACCACTCTGTCAAGAGTGACACGACTGAGAAGAAGAAGAAGAATTCTACATTCTATTCACAAGATATGTTCCTCATTTCTAATAACGACTAATCCTTATTATAATAAGTTAAACTGAATATCAAACCTGACAATGATAGTGTCCATATATAATAATCGTATGTGTCTTTTAAAACGCTCTGCGTTGAATTCACTATGACATCGGCCATGTTTCTGTGTAATCTGTAACAAAGGAAAAACTGGTTTTAGCTCAGTAATTTTGATTATGTAATTAAACTAGATGTTGTTCAGGCATTTATGTGCTTTGGTTATACAATCGTAATGTCAGTGCAGTTGAGGCTTCAATTAAAATAACATACGCCCGCTGTGTTAAGAAATTTGTTGTTGCCAGAAATTAATGTAAACCTACTATATATAAAATCAACAAAATTGTACTATGAGATAGTTATGTGTTTGCTGCGATTTTAACGTCTCTGTAGTCTGGTGGTAGTATCTCTCTCTTCGATCGGTCCTTCACTGCTGAGGATCGTGACTCCGTCCGATTCCGTCAACCAGCTGTCTCCATCGATCGCGTTTTGTAGCTTGGTGGAGTGCATCGCTGACAGGTGTCCCCAGTTCCTCCGCTATTTGGTCTGACCATAGCTTGGGACCTCTACCCCTAGGCCTTTTTCCCTCTATTTTACCGGTCACCACGAGGCGTTCCAAAAGGTGGTAGTATAGGAGGAGTTTATGTTTGTTAAATTTTTAGAGTTCTGAAATTACTTGTATCACAATCTTGTATTAGTCGATAGTTCACTCTATTGTACGTAATGCATTGATTTTTAAAACTACTCTCAAGTCTCCTTTCTTACGTTAATGATTGAAATAAACTTTGACTTTTTGGCGGGAACGCGAGGAGTGAAATTGTGTGATTTGTTTTATTTTGTCTATTTAGTGTTTCTTCAGGTTTAAATGTGTAATAACGGTGGTTTATTAACTGTTTAGTATCTGTGAAAATGCTCAAATGTGGGAAAATGAAACAAAGCCGCTGGATGTAACTTCTCGGGATCCTACAGAAAGCTCACTGAAAAAATCTCAGTAAATGATATCATTTTACTGAGATTATATTTCATCCCATATAATCTCGTCTCATTTCATTTCATTTCATTTTACTCCATATTATCGTTTTTCATAAAAATAAGAATATAAAATAAAATAAGACATGACCTAAAAGTCTTAGCTACCAGGTCACATAGATTGTATGTTGCCTTAAATTTGTATGTTACCTTAGAAACTGCAATTTCGTAAATTAGCCCTTTAAAAAAAAATAAAATAAACTTTCCCAAAAGTGCTAACAACTGTACCAAGTTTCATCACAATCGAATGATGGGTTATGAATCTCATAGAAGACGTGGACACAAGCAAATAGAGTTTCCATATAAACTTATAATCACTAAGAATAAAATTATCGAATACACCAATTTTTTTTTTTTATTGCCCTTGTAGGCAGACGAGAATACGGCCCACCCGATGGTGAGTGGTTACCGTCGCCCATGGACTTCAGCAATGCCAGGGGCAGAGCCAAGCCGCTGCCTACCGCAAAATTTACTACCTACCAATATAAATACCGCTATATTTGTACATTGGTTTCCAACCAAAAGCAGTTAATGGAATTTCTTGCTTTTGGTATGAAAGTAACATTCAGTTATTCATTCTTTCATACCATTAATCTCCACGAATATTTTCTTAGTGGATGCTTAAGATGAAATGAATCAGCTGCCCGAATTTCAAGTTTACAGCCCCAGTACTTCTACGTAGTGGTTCTGCGTTGATGAACCAGTCAGGACCAGTAATTATGTATAATAAATGTACCGGCGCAACGTCACTATTTAGTTAACTGTTTCCTTAATGTTACGCATGTCAACAACTACTTAAGACGGTATTCGAGAGAATTCATGACTAAGCTACCCCTACGTTCTACATAAATAAGGGTGACTATTGTCGCGCAAAGCCCCCCGAAGACTGAAGACGAAGTGGAAGGAGAAAGAAAGGAAGAAACAAGAAAAGAAGAAGAAGATAAGACAACTATCAACGTCCTATCTAACGTTCATCACTCAAAACCGCAGCTCATCAGCCCTACCTCCATAGGCAGGAAGTTTTAAAGCCCGGGCAGAGGGAGTTCCCCGAGGCGACGTCAGGGGTCGCAACGACCCGATAGTCGAACAAAACATTCCGACTCGAGCAGCCGAATTAAGCGGACCTCTCTGAGGACCTCAGCCTACTCAGTCATACATTTTTCAGTAGAATGTCTATTTTAGTGTCCCATAATACCTAAAAACTTATCTGCCGGCCGTTGAGTGTAAAATATATTTTTTCCTACCTAAGCTGATGGTCTAGAGAGACCATATCAGCGTAACCTTAACTAGTAGGTGAGCTCGCGGGGCTCAAGCCTGACGATGTTGCTAATATGAACCCTAGCAAGAGCCGTGCTTCGCAGAATCTACCACCGGATCGGAAACGCGATCCACTGAAAAGATCCGGCGAGAAACTCAGTAGGCTGTGTCTGTGGGTTAATTTACTCGCCGAGAACGATGACCGGAAATATATTGTATTTAATTTCTAAAGTCTATTAAATTGGTTGGTTCAGATAGTTTAAGATTTAGAAACTATTACAAATATATTCAAATGAAAGTGTCATGTACAATGTTCTGCGTGCAAATATGGATGTACTGACCTTCAAAACATAATAAACGTTGGCAAACTATGTAAAACTGAATATTTAGATTTAAAATACTTCGATAGATGTATTGGTTGTGACATTTTTAGTTAATGCTTTTTTTTCAGTTAAAGCCTTTTTTAAGAGTATGCTCACATCTACGAATCTAGTTTAAAAATAAATTATTTATGGCCACCTACAACCTGAAGTCGTCGTGGCCTATCGGATAAGACGTCCGGTGCATTCGTGTTGAGCGATGCACCGGTGTTCGAATCTCAGGCGGGTACCAATTTTTCTAATGAAATAAGTACTCAACAAATGTTCACGATTGATTTCCACGGTGAAGGAATAACATCGTGTAATAAAAATGAAACCCGCAAAATAATAATTTGCGTAATTTACTGGTGGTAGTACCTCTTGTGAGTCCGCGCGGTCGGGTACCACCACCCTGCCTATTTCTGCTGTGAAGCAGTAATGCGTTTCGGTTTGAAGGGTGGGGCAGCCGCTGTAACTATACTTGAGACCTTAGAACTTGTATCTCAGGGTGGGTGGCGCATTTACGTTGTGGATGTCTATGGGCTCCAGTAACCACTTAACACCAGGTGGGCTGTGAGCTCGTCCACCCATCCAAGCAATAAAAAAAAACTTGCTTATTTATACGAGTCGAATTCTTAGAAGAAGCTTATCGTAAAACTAATCATAAGTAAAGAATCGGTAAATAGCAAATATATATTTTTTTTAGAGCCTCAAGCGAGTCGCAGTTGTTCTAAAATATGATTTAAATAATTATTTTCACACGTCAGTTTGTCAACAATGCAATTTGTAACAACATATCGCGTCATTCAATACTTTCCCCTTATTAGACCCGCTGAAAGCTTAGTTGGCGTTATGAGTAATTAGCATATTGTTAATCAATTTCAACGTCAATCAAATATAAACGCTTATTAACGCGTTCTGGAACAAACATTACAGATGGGTTTTTTTGCGCTATTTTTAAAAAGCAAAATAATGATGTATAATATATTTAAAAACTGACACTTACACTGAATAATTAAGAATTCTATAGAAGAAAGAAAAGAAAATGTGCACATATTCTATATACATATAAGATAACCTTACTGCTTATTTCAGTTTTTAAATAATAAGAAATACAAGGTTGTTCTATTTTAGGTGAAATCGGGCAATGCGTGACAAATTTTTTCCCTATTTACCATTTATTCAGCTAATCTTTCCAAATTATGACCTAATAATCAAAAGTTCCGCGGCTTATACAGTTTGACAATAAGCGGTATATATACATATAATACATTGCGTAAATTATAAAAGTTCAGCCTACTAAAAGCAAATATCATTAGATAGGTACCGAAACTCTACATATTTTTACCGCGAAGTTGTCATTCATTACAATTTAAAAGTAAGTACGATACAATGCTAATCAGAGACCTTTGCTTTATGATGTTTAAGGGTTATATTGCCGTAACATACAACGTAAATACCTATTGTTTTAGTGGGTATTGTAAACTTATGGTGTAATTAGCAGGCAGTGTAAAAAAAAATTGATAGACCTCTCATGTTACGCTTGAACGTTGACCTAGCGCGCTATCTGATTTCAATTGTATTTCATTGCTGACAGTGAAACGTGGTCTTTTTTAAAAGTCGCTTTCTCTTTCAGGAATGTTTTTTCAAACCACTTTGTATGTCATCTATATATTAATACGCGAAGAAAAAACTTTGTATCCCTTTTTACGAAAATTGCGCGGACTGAATAGTACGAAATTTTCCACACTTAAAGAGAATATAGAGAAGAAGTGCACAATGCTAATATTTTTTTTAAATAAAGCATAAAAGATACATTAAATCAATAAAGAAAACATTACACACACTACATACCTACCATGTATTTGACGCACACACGCATGCATACTATTTATTGTCAAACTTTTGTTCTTGACGTCTGTTGTCAAATTGAGAATAGATTAAATATTGTTTGTCTTTATTAATATTTTTTTATAGGGTAGCCTTGGCGAAATTTGTGATTATAGAAGTATAAAATACAATCATAATACATACTTACAATTCCAATTATAGTCGAATTTCGACTACTGCGGGACCTCTAGTATTTAATTCAATGTAGTGTGCCACTTGTAAATTATATAGTATAATAGATTTGTGGGTGCTTTATGTCGCCAATCTTGGTATATTGTTAAAAAAAAACGATATCTCCGTGATTAAAGCTACTTTTACGGTTTTTTATTTTCATTGAATATTTAACAAAGAAATACATTTTTTTTACTTAGGTGGGTGGACGAGCTCACAGCCCACCTGGTTTTAAGTGGTTACTGGAGCCTATTGACATCTACAACGGCTGCCCCACCCTTCAAACCGAAACGCATTACTGCTTTACGGCAGAAATAGGCAGTACCTACCCGGGCTGACTCACAAGAGGTCCTACCACTTACCACCAAAATTGAAGGTATTTCATAATTATAAGTGCATAATAGTATAATGATCCGTGACCACGAAAACT